ATAAGATTTTTCCAAATGTTATTTTACTAGTAAAATGTATGGTAAAATTTAAAAATTCATAAGATTCTTCGAAATGTCATTTTACTATACATTCTACTAATAAAATGTATGGTAAAATTTCAAAAAATTGTTAGAAGATTCTTCGAGATGTCATTTTACTGTACATTCTACATAGTAAAATGTATGATAAAATTTCAAAAAACTCTTAGAAGTTTCTTCGAGATGTCATTTAACTAAATATTCTACTAGTAAAATGTATAATAAAATTTCGAAAAGCTCATAAGATTTTTCCAAATGTTATTTTACTAGTAAAATGTATGGTAAAATTTCAAAAATCTCATGAGATTCTTCGATATGTCATTTATAATAACTAAATATTCCACTAGTAAAATGTATAATAAAATTTCAAAGAACTCTTATAAGATTTTTCAAATGTCATTCTACTAGTAAAATGTATGATAAAATTTCAAAAAACTCTCACCAGATTCTTGGAAATATCATTTTACTATACACTCTACTAGTAAAATGTATAATAAAATTTCAAAAAACTCTTACAAGATTTTTCAAAATGTCACTCTACTAGTAAAATGTATGGTAAAATTTAAAAAATCTCATCCTTCGAAATGTCATTTTACTGTGGTAAAATTTCAAAAAGCCCTCATGAAGTACTTTGAAATACCGTGTTGTCTCGCGAGGATTTTCAGGTAAATTCCAAGAGAAAATTTTCTCCGTGCAGTTTTAACCGTGTCGAACCTGTCGACAAATTCACGAAGATGATCTGGATAATGATACATTAGCGACATCCCGTGGTTTCAATTTTACTTCGACGACCGGCGAGATGCAATGAACAATATGTACGAGGCTTTGATTCCCATGAATCCGTAATGACTCGTCATACGTATGTCGGGTGCGTCTCACGATGACACGGCGGATTTAATCGCTGTCCGGTGACATCATGTCCGCTTCATTGCAAGTCGACGAATTTTAAGCCGCGCGACCGACGAAAGTGAATTTACGATATATTTAACATCGTTTCGAGATTCGCGCGGTTGTTCTCGGTCTAATCGCGGAATCGATTCTCAATATTCGGCCTCGGTAAAGCTGGTTAATCGTCCGAGCGCGCGCCTATTAAAAAGTTGTTATTTAATTAATGACGGGAGACACGCGAGGGAATTTATCTCCCGTACGATCTTCGTCACGTCGGATTGTTTCGTAAATATCCGGGCGGCCGCGCCCCCCACGTGCGTGCGACGCTGATTGTTCGGCGGAAACAATGAAGGGACGAATGTGAAAAATGTATCACATTCGTAAGACGCGTCCAGGCATCGCCATAATTTTCACGCGGCTTCTCCGCGGAGCGGAGGATAAAGTCGTGGGAGAGTCATTGCCGCTTTCCACGGTCCCGGTCTCGACGCGATTCATTATTGTAAAATCTTAATTTGATTTCTACGCCGCGTACGAGAGCCAGCCGCTTAAGGATTAGCCGACGTTAGACAATTTACTACGCTATTGTAACGTTACTCGAGGCAACGCGTAAAAAAGATCGAGACGTATGTTGAACATCCATCAACAAATCTCACCCAGACAGGCGCTCGAAACAGTTTCTATGAATTGCTAAATGTGATCTATGTGGTAAGCACAGGCGCGCAGCCTGTCCCGTCTCGCGCGGACGCGGGCGTCGTGCGTGCAATAAACATCTCTATATATTGATACGCGCGCAATATGCGAGCACACTTGGCTCGCGGGGTCTAACGCGACCCCCGACGAGTTCTTTCCCTCGCTCTCTCCCCTCAGGTGTCCGGGACTGAGACAATAAACAACATTCGCGCTCGCGTTTACATTCCGTGAGGCGCGCGCGTAAGCACGGCCGCGGTTAAAACAACACGCGCGCAAAACGGAAGTTGTCTCCGCCTCGTCTCCGCGCGCTTTGCGTTTTCTCCGATTCATAATGCCGTGTGCTCTTAATGCACAAAGTGCTCGGCGATTGCGAGAGGGAAGCGGCAGTGCAGCGCGAGACAAGACCGTAATTAAATCTTGGCGGGTTACGTAACCGCGGTAATTGGCCCGAAACGCGCGTCCCCCCGTATCGATCGTCGGACAGGGCGACAATAAAAGTAGCGCCGTTCCGGCAGTGTCCGGGTCGAGGAGGCGACTTCGGGACTGCCGTCGACGGGAGGAGAGGAAAGAGCATAACGTCGGGTATCGACGCGAATAATTGCGAATCATCGTGTGGCGCGCACGAAGCGGACGCGGCCGCTGTTAATGCACCACTTCTACCGGAGGATGGAGCAAGAAGATTGACAGGCCGGCTCTCTCCGATCGCGTTTGCCCGCGCCTTATTCGACTCGTCGCGTCCCGTTAATTGCGTCGTCGCGGGCTCTCTCGACCCGAAATAAGGTTAACGATAAAGACAGCCGACGTCTGACGCCTTTCGCCAAGCCGAACTTCCGCGCGCGCGATTCGCCACGCGCTCTCGCGCAGGGTAAACACACTCGTCCCGTCGAAGAAAGAAGAGACGCGCGGAGGAGGGGGAGGAAGAGGGACAAAAATCCGGGCCGGCGTCGAAGTGCGCGGTGGATCGCGGATCGACGCGATCGCGATCGTCGCGCCGGTACCGCACCGGGGCGCGGTATAGGGGAAAAATCTCTCGTCGCGATGACGCGCGCTTTCAATCCCGTCAGCCGAGACCCACTTCGGGTGGTGGCTTCAGTAACGCGGACCTCGCAATTAAAACGCACTGTCAACGCCAGCGTTTACCGCATCCATCAGGCCGAAGATGGAAAGCGTGTCAAGAAGCGCGGCCCTGCCCACCCCCAGCCCTCCCGGCGGGTGGCGAAAGGGTGGAGGCGTCCACTCGACGCTCTCTCCCCCCCCTCCCCCTTCTACGGCCGTGCGCTCGCTCAAAAATGCATTTTTCAGGCATGATATTGATGAACTGACAATTAGCGCGGATATGGGGTGAACCACACGCGTTCTCTCTCTCTCTCTCTCTTCCCCTTCCCTCTATCTCCGTCTCGCGTGCTCTCCATTAAAGATGATACAGTTAGGAAATAAAATGCAGATAGGGCTGTTAAGGAGAGATATGAGGATGAAATTGAAGATGAATTCCGATCATCGTGCAACGTCGATCAGCAGTAATTAGAGTTAATTACAGTTTCATTATTACGTTAATCCCATGCGACTTCTGTCTTCGTCGCAGACAATACTCGGCGAAGGAGAATTGAAAATTTCTAGAATGAAGTTAAATCTCGTCGGTAAAATCGACACGTAATCACGTCACCTCGAGGTACGAGACTCGCGGCGAACGGACTCGGCGAATTAGTGACGTTGTTTATTATGATTTTTCGCACGAAAGACGTCCACGCGAATACGAACGTTTGTTTGCCTGTCGTTCCGTACGCGCAGCAAATCTCCGGTTTACCGTCTATGATACAAAAAATGTAAATTCCAAACGTAACAATGCCGTTTCTCGAACAAAGAAGAACCGAGATCGGCGCGACGATACGTCGCAGCGATAAGAAATAATTTTGTTCGAAACGGGGCGAGTTCCGTTTAATCTACCACCGTATCAGGCCCGATGCAATTAAAATGAGCCTGACAGCGAATATAGCCTTTCGCTATTCTCATTCTAATCGTCGCATACATTATGACGCACGTGACGTCTAGTCACATACTGACATTTTACCAATCAAAATTCGACCCAAATCGAAATTAGCCCGTCGAGTACGTGTCGATAATCTCACATATTGCACATCACATCACATCGATATAATATCATATTTTACAAGCGGTCTGAACGCTTTAATATGTGTCACTCGGGCTGTAGGGAATCACGGCGTTTTTATCCTGACAGCTCGTAAGATATTCCGGAATCGGAGAAAGCGATAGAGAGAAAGAGAGAGAGACGCACACACAGAGGCAGAAAGAGACCGCGCGCGTGTGTCTTTACGTATGAGTATACGTGTGAGACGAAGGCGAGGAGGTTCAGGGCGCGTGACAGAGAAAATCCGAAACGCGGCGCGAGGACACGGCGAAAATAGAATCGCGCGGCGCGATTTAATCCGCGACTACGCTTTGACGCGGCCGGCCGCGCCGCGGCGCACGCTTGATCGAGGTTAATGCGGCGCGACGTTAATTTTCCGAAGGGGTAGAAGCGACGCGCTCCACACACACACTATCTCTCTCTCTCTCTCTTCGCGGACGTGCACGAGGATTACACGCGATTCCCCGCCACCTGCTGCGCACACCGCACTTTTGTTTATATGCAGGCTACGCGCTCGCGCGCGAACCCACCCACGCCGGCGATCTCCTTTACTTCCCTTCTTCACTTTCTTTTTTTTCCTCGCCGCGGACAGCCGTTCTCGCACTTCCGGCCAATTCCCTCCGGCGAGGACGGCGGAGGACACACTTTTTCCTCCCCCTTCGAGAACGATTTGCGCGCGAAGATCCGCGAGGGTGACTCTACACGACCGTGGCCGGGGCGGCAGGGAAAGGGGTGGATTCAACGAAACTGAATTTTGCGAATTGCAACTCCCGGCGCGGCGGCACTTTCGTTATCCTCGCCGAGCCGGACGCGGACCCAAGTACGTGAGTCACGCGTTTCGGAGCAAACTGTAAACACTCCTTGCGAGCACGAGGAAACCTGACGAGGCAAACAACATTTCTTCCCCCCTCTCTCTTTCTATATGCGTGCGACGTGGAATCACGTAAACACTGTGTGTAAAAGAAAAACGCTCCGAGGGTAATCTCTTTGCGGCCTCTCTCGAGCACAATTCACACTGTGGTCTGCGCGTTTCGGAGCGGACGTCGCCGTCCCACCGTGACGCGTCGTCTTTCTCCACTGTCCAACTGCGCCCCGGCAGCCGGGCGTATAAACAGATACGCGAGACAGCACTCGACGGACATTCCGCCGCGGACGGTATCGGTAAGAGCAACGACACGTTGCCAGCGGCGAGTCGCTCGGGGCAGCGGAAACGCATGAATCACACGGTCACACTCACCACGAAGTAGTGGTTCCGCCGGGCAGGATACGTCGGTCCCGGCGTGTCGTCGCCGCCGACACCTGAGACGCAGCGGCGATCCTCGTCCGGCAGTCACGGCAGCGGCAACGCGGCGGCGTGCGCCTCGGGTGCGAAACTCTCGGCACCATATCACCACGGCGTCATCGGCGCGCCGCGTGCTCTCCGCGCGCGCGACGCAACGTACGGCTCGACGATGAGGTGGGCTGGCAAGGGACGACGGCTCGCACCATTCGCACTCAAAACTCGTTTTCCTCACGCGCTCGCGCTCACCGCCGCTGCTCCCGCCGCTCGGAACGCTCGCGGCCACCGTCGTCCGTCATACTCTCGACACCGCTCGGCGCGATCGCGATCGCGGGACGGCACACGGGTTCCGCGGGGGTGCTGGGGCAAGTCACGATGTCGCGGCAGCGTGCATGGCCCGCCGAACGGAACGGAGCGAGAGCGAAGACCCACCCGCGACGGCAGCACGTGGCGCACTGACGGCTCCGCGCTCATCTTCCCCACCTCTGCCCCCTCCATCGTGGCGCTGTCTGCCCCTACTCGTGCCGCCGCCGTCCCCCTCGCCCCCACCCGCGGCCCTGAACCGCGTCCCCACCACCGGCGTCGGACTCGTAGCGGGGCGCCGTGTTTCTCCCGTCCTCCCCCCCCCCCCCGCCACGCCGCCCATTCCACCCACGCCCCCATCCCACTCTCCGGAGTTCCCGAGAGTCTTTCTTCCGAGCGGGTCGCCCTTCTCGTCTTCTGTGGCGATGTGTCTCCAGGCTGATTCCCTTTTTTCTCCCTCCCCCTCTCTCTCTCTCTCTCTCTCTCTCTCTCTCTCTCATCCACCT